AATTTTTATCAAACTCGATGCTTTTTGGCAGAACATTTCCATCTGGGTGAGTCAGCAGCCTTGGAAAGCCGCTGTCAGCTGCAGCGGAGCTGGAGCCAGGCGCGTGGGGGAACGCCGCCGGGACACGCACCTGACCCGGCACACAGCGCTCGGGGGGAGCCTCGCAGGGGGCTGCCTGCCCCACTCATCTCTGCTCCTCGTCCCCCAGCCCCTCATCCTCGCAGGGGGCAGCACGGCAGAGCTCCCCCAGGCTGTTTTCAGGTGAGGTGGAACAAGGTGCCTCAGGTGTGCTGATGACTTCAGGATGCACTCACGGGCTAAGTCGCCCTGTAAGAGCTGCCTCCCTTTCGGCGTGCTGGATCACATCGCAGGTTTGTCAAGATCAGCCCTGGAGATGAGGCAACAAAACCTTCATCACCCCAGGAGGGTTTTGCCCTACCTCAGCCCAAAGCCCTGCAGGAATGGAGTTTTCCCCCTTCCACACAGTTTGTCCCAGCTCTTTATTGCAAGTTTTCCCCTCAGGCACCCTGCCAGCACCGTGTTTGGTCTCCCTCCCCTAGTTTTGGATATTTTTTTTTAATGAGGATTGGTTATGGGGAGGCTGAGTCCCGTGCATGGGCCTCTCCCGCAGTGCTAGGGGAGCGGCAGGGCCGACGGCTGCCTGGGGCTGCAGGCACCTCCCTGCAGGAAAAAGCAGGAAAAAACTGGCAGGGAGTGGAAAGCAGTGGCAAGCAGATTAGGAAGCCAGCTCCTATTTATAGACCGGCAGCGAGAAACTGCCCCGGCGGCGGGGCCACGGGTGTAACCCTTCCAGCCCCGAGCACCAGCCCCAAGCGAGCCCCGCTGGTGCCACGTCGGGGCTGGGGGAAGCAGGGGAGACCCCACACAGTGCTGGGGCTGGCGGCTGCACTTTATGGGGGTCCTCCAAGGGAAGAGTGTGATGGCTGAGGGCTGTGTTTCTCCAGGGACGTGGGGCAGCTCCTGGAAAGGACTGTCCAAGTGTCTTGCTACAAGGTGGCCAGAGCAAGCCAAAAATGTTTCCTCTAAGGAAGAGACAATGAGGTTTTGGGGGCGATGCCAACTTTTCCAGCCTCGTTGAGCTCTGTCAGGGTTGAAGGTAATGGGTGCCAAGGGTTTGAGGGCCACCACATTTGCATCGCAAGCAAGTGGCCACCGAGGCTCCACCTCAGGGGAGCTGCTGCAGCCCCGACCCCGCACTGCTGCTCGCTGCTGTCACCCCAGAGCTCACGGACGAGCTGATAACCAGAAGTTGTCACCAGCTCCTTGCCGAATTCACGGTGTCAGAGAGCTTTCTGAAACAAGGCATCTCTGCTTTTCACACAGGAGCCTCCTCCAAGCATCTCTTCCTGCAGAACAGTGAGTGATTTATTTTGTTTTTGTTTTAGTTTTGGTCAAATCTATTAATGTGGCCAAGGAGAGGTCACACAAACGCCAAAACCCACGGAATTCAGATCACAAGTGCCCTGCACGCCCTCGGGCTGGGACCAGGAGCTGAGCAGAGCAGAGGGTGAGTCCCAGCAAGAGGTGGTCAGCACATCTGTAGGTGTGAGGAGCACACCAGTACCGTCCTCCCAAAGCTCTGCTTTCACTGCTACACTACCTGCTGCCGTTTGTGTGTGCCTTCATGCCATAAATCGTAATTAAATATACAGATTGAGCATTGCCAGCTTGCTCAGCACTCTGCCTTCCCAGGCCTGGATTTCTCTGGGTGCTGTGGCAAGCAGAGGCACGTCTGGGGAGGGAGAAGCTCCCCCAGGCCAGTCTCACCGTGCAAAAGCCCCAGTGCCAGCCCCTGGGGCACCCCAAACAGGACAAAAGAAGAGCTGTTTAGCTCTGCCATACTCTGTTAGACCTCAGTACAGCCCGGTTTATCTACATGAGAAGGCAAAAGGCTACAAAAAGGCATCAAAAAGGCATCAGAGCTGCTCAAAGCTGCCGTGTGCCCCCAGCATGCAGACAGCTGGGGCTCGGGCAGGCTGCACCACAACTGCCTGTCCTGTAAGAACCAACACACCCCCGATCCCTCCAGCTATAGATCTCAACCAGTTGCTGCCTCCTTCCCAACAAGATTTTCCAGCCATTCTCTCACTACCTTGAGTCAATAGCTATTTTTTACAAGATTTCTTTTCTTAATTGATCTAAATCCTTTCCCTTGGCTTTCTTGTTAAAGGTGGATTTAAAGAGGAGCTCATTATCTCGGCCATTTTCGAGTCATTATTAATTCCATCCCTCTGTTCATTAATTACTCATTACCCCTCATGCTGGCAGGCTGCTTTGTCCCCGATGTGCTTGTGAGCAGCCTCCCGGCACCCTGTAATCCCCCCGGCCCCGTGTTAGCTCGTTCTGGTTTCCGCTGCCTTCGCTTTCCCTCGCCTGCTCCCATCTCCTCTGCTCCCAGGCGAGGCTTCTCCTCTCATCTGCACCTGAGTGGCCACGTCCTGCTGAGCTCCTGGCCCTAGGAGAGGCACCTGCCCCTGGTCAGGGGCTTGGCACTCACCCTTGGGTAGGGTCCTGGGTTTATTGGGCTGATATTTACCAAGCCTTTGGCTGCGGTCAGATCCCCAGGGAGGACCTGCCACCAGGCTATTTTTTCCATGCCTACGTTGCCCCAGCAGCTCACCAAAAGCCCCACAGGACATTTTTTTCCCTTTGCAGCACAGAGGTGGGAATTTACAGCCCCCGAGGTGAGTGCAACGTGTGTTCATTTCAACGCTGAGCCTCCTCCATGCATGGGGACACGCCGGTCAGGGCCCTTCCCAGGCTTCATTGATGCACACCAAAAGGCAAAGCAGGAAAAAATGCATTGGGCTGGTAAAGGGGAGAGGGGGGTGTGGTGTTTGCTTGGGGAGGCCAAAGGAGGGTTGCACAAGCAAGTCGTTGGGTTGCACAATCAGAAGCAGCGGAATGACTTTAACTGAAGTTGCCACTGATCAGCTGAGTTGCACTTTCCCAGGGGCGTTGAGCAGAAGAGTCTTATTCTTTAACTGGAGGAAATTAAGATAAGGTAACTGGCCCCGAAGTGCGACTCTGGGCTTGTGCTAAGCCATCCCTTGGTGCATCCCTCAGCGGGAGGGAACTGGTTGCACAGTGCTGGGCTACTGAGAACTCACAGCACTTGGGAGCCTCCAGGACAGAGAAACAAATGGAGAACTGGGCTGCGAGTGCTCAGAGCAAGGAAAGTGCCAGCAAAGTGCTAACTACCTTTAATTGCTGGCATCAACTCCCTTCCTCCACCGTGGGGGAGAGCCCAGCGAAAGCATCCAAGCCAGCAAGGACATCCACTCCTCACTTTCCATCTGTGAAGCAACGGAGTAGTTTGGGACTGCAGGGGACTTCACGGCAAAAGAGCTGCAAGGACAGACACTTGGAGATGTTTCAGAGAAGAAACGCCCCCTTGTCAGCGTGCTGCAGCCTCCTCCTGAAGGACGTGCTGCAGCACGTGCAGGAATCGAGGACGGGAGCCAGAGACTGAGCGAGATTATTCTCTTCTGCTCCTGTATTTCATTTGGAGAAACCGCTCCAGGATGCTCCTGTTGGACTTCCCACTTGCTGCAGTTGCAACACCCCAAACCATTGCCTCTGCCACACTGCTCCTGTAGCTCCTGTGCTGGTACCCCTGGAAATGAAAGTCTCCACTCTGAAGTCCATCTCTGTTTCTGCCAAGGAGATCAGCAGAGGGCCAGACTAGGGCAGCGAGTGCCTGCAGGCCCAAGCCAGCGCTGGGAGAAGACAACCTCTGGGTTGTTCTGTGTAATGTGCAACAGAGCAGGGAGTGGGTAAAAGCCAGTTGCAGGGTACGAGGGATGCTCTCTGGCGATGGAGTAGGCAAACGCCCGGCCTCCTCTGGTCCAACCCTTGCTGCCTGGTGCTCTGAAGGAAAAGGAGACCTCCAGCCTTGCAAGCAGCCCCCCACGCGGGTCTTGCACAAGCTGCCAGAAGGATCTATCTCTGCATCCGCGGGATGTCCCTCTCCTCAGCCCCCACGAAGGACTGACCGTTTTAAGCACGTGTCAGTGAAATCCAGCTCCCTGCCTTGGCTTGTCTAACAACACATTTGCAATGCCTCAGACTTCAGAGCTTTTCCCAAGCCCCCAGGGCTCTAAGACTAATTTAAGCCAGCATCTGGGAGTTTTACAAGGCAGGGAGAAGATAGCACTCTATTCATTCTCTCTTCCCTTTCTAATAACCACAGGTACCTGGCACTGCTCGAGAAAAACCACATGGGAGGTGCTCTGGGAAGAAGCTGGGGTCACTGGGCATGGCAGGACCTTCCCTTATACTGCTCTGGTACGTTACAGGGTCAAAAAAAAAACCCTGCCACCACAGGGGGGAGATGGTCCATCTGCAGCAGGGAGAGCAACCACTGCTCCTCATCCCACATGGGCCCAGACCCCAAATTCTTCATGGGTGGCATCCCATGTGGCAAAGCCCTGCGGCTCCTCCCTGGGCCAGGCCCAAAGCATGATGCCAGAGCAGGTTCGTGCCCCAGCTCCTGCAGAGGCAGCACGTCAGGCAGGTGAGCAGCTCCGTTCCCAGCTGCGGGTCCTGCCCAGGGCCGACAGTGAGCTCAGTTTTGGGGCACAGGGGACAGGGCAGCTGTCTGGAGCTGAAGGACGGCAGGAAACGTGATGGGGAGACAACAAGATGCTTCAGCAGGACAGCTGATTCTCCAAAATGTGCTGAGCCCCTGCTTTCATAGCCTTGTGTCCAGTCCCTGAGAGATCCGCTCCTCCATGAGTTTTCCCCTTGTTCCTCTGCACACCATGGGCAGGGGCATTTCCACGTTAGCTGGGCAGCAACAGCTACTGCCACAACCAGACCGTCCTTGCACCAAAAGGCTCGCCGTGTCCTCAACAGAGAGCAAACCCGTTACCAGCAAAGGCTGCTGGACTGAGACGTGTTAGATAATGCATCCATCTCTATATTTCTCCCCTGAAAAAACAAAAACAAAACAACAACAACAAAAACACAGAAACAACTTCTGCTTTTTCTAGGGCAAACTCAAAAGGTTTTATTTTAATTTTTTTTAGCAAATTCTATCACGTAAATGTTAACAAAAAACATCTGTACAATTGCCATGATACACTCAAAAGTGAAACAAAAGATATAAATACAGATATGGATGTAACATGACAAAAGCGGAAAAAATAGAAAAAAAAATCCATGCGCATGAACACGGTGCCAACAAAGTCATTTCTCATGGCTGGCATTTTTCAGAGCATTTTTTTCACTTCCCATTTAAAACATTGTTAGCAACGTCCTGCTGTATTCTACAAAGGTCTATTTCTCTGTCCCTTAATATGCAATATTATGCTTGATAAATAAAGGGGTGGGGAGAAAAAGGTTTCGATGACAAAGATGTGAGTTAGGTTACTGATACAGGTTATCGGTAAGCTAGTAGTAAGCAATAAAAAAAGACAGTCTCGTATTGTATTGTAATCCAGGCAAGCACACATAGTGTACCTTAAGAAAGCCACATGCCTCGATAATTCTGCACTACATGAGAACTACAGTACGTAGACCGGGGGGCAGATGGATCCGGTATTCGCCCATGCCCATGGAGCACTGGTGCAGCCAATGGCAGAAAAACACATCCACATCTGAGGTTTTCGGCAACCTTACAGCCAGGAGCCGCTGTCTGCTGAGAGATTTCTCCCATTCAGACTTTTAAAGCATGGTGGGAAAAAACAAAAAACATTTTTTTTCTTTTTTTCTTTTTTTTTTTTCTTTTTTTTTTTTTTCTTTTTTTTTCAAAGGTATGAAAAATTGAAGCCCTGCATAACGGGCTGCAAGGAGGAAGAAAAAAAAAAAAAAGGCAGCTGCAGTAGATGGCTACTGCTGGGAGAACGTGAACACAAGCTTCACCGGTGCGGTGAGGCACTGCCAGCATGCAGATCGTTCTCTGCAAACGTGCGTGGACACTGTGATTTGTAGCCAGAGAGACCTTTATGCTTGCTGAAGAGAAAACAAAACGATTGTACAGCTTTTTGAAGTCAGAACGCTGGAGATCAGAGAGGTGACATTCAGAGCTAGCCCTTTGAGTACTTCAAAGGAAAAAAGAAAAAAAGGGGATCAGGTCATGTTCAACATACTAAACAACCTTACTATGTACATTATACGCAATGCTTTATAAATACCTACGCAGAATGCTCCCTACTGTATACAGGTATAACATACGTCTAGAGTACTCAAAGGATGAAGGGTCCGCGACCGACCCACGTAACGAAAGGAAGGAACACCTTAATGAGCATCTGGTGAAGAACAGGAACAGGGTCTGATTAAGAAAGTAAGGCCTGGTTCTACCATTTTGCAGCCCCAAGTGTGCCAATAGTCTCTGAATAACACGTGCTCATCTCTGTAGCCTCAGATCAGCAGCGGATTTCTCACCTATTGCCCGAGGACGAGCAGTTGACTCCTACTGTAGTGTCAGCGCACGCGCTGGGGGCAGTTCGGGGACGTTACAGTGCGTTCACTCTCAGTGCATACTAACAGGATTTTATAAAACATATAAAATCATTTGAGAAGGAATTCAATTCCTGGAGATCTGCTACAGTGTGCCATTCAAAAAGAAAAAAAAAAAAAAAAAAACAGCAAAATTAAAAAAAAAAAAAAAAAGAAAAAGCAAAGAGTGATGGACCACGCTCCATCACAGCGGGGAGGGACTAAATGCCACCCGGTCAGCTATGCTGACCTCCGAATCCCAGAACTGGAACAGAAGATGCTGAACTGAGATGGGGAGAAAAAGAGGCATAAATACTAAGCAGAATAAAAATAAAATTAAAAAAAAAAAACTACTAAAAATTCAAACAAGACAGCTAACTGCTGCCAACAAGTCGGCTGAGTATTTCCTCAAAAGGGAAAATAAAATCATGTTAAACTAAAATAATTTTAATAATTCAAAAAAAATTAAAAAAAAAAAAAAGAATATTGTAACAAGTGTACTGCAAGATGTTGAAAAGGAATGGTCCACGGAAAGGGAGACACCAACCATGGAGCAGCCAATCCTCCCTCTAGCAAGGAGAGAGCCCAGAGGAATCCCAGCGCCAGGATCACAGCCCCTCCTGCCACGGCATTATCCACTGGGGAGCATGAGGGAAACCAGCCCTGCAGCCAGCAAAAGCCTGGACACATCCTCAGGAGCAGGTCACATCAGCCGGGAAAGGGGCCAGGACAGAGCCCTCACACACCTCAGCCCCTCCTGAGTGGGGGACTTGGAGCAGAGCTGGCTCCCAGCACAGCTCCCTGGGGCTGGGCCACACAAGCAAGGACTGACAGAAAGGGAGGACAACAAGGCCTCGTCCTCCCCGCTGCAGTTCTGGCAGCTCCTCTGTTCCCAGCGTGCTGCCGAGGTGTCCCTTCAGCTCCTCCAAGGAAAGGAAGGAGGCTGGAGAGAGACTGAGGCACTGAGAGAAGCCAGGGAGCACACATCTATCGACACAGCGGCAGGCCGTCCTCCTGCATCACTGAGGGCAAAATCCCAGTTCTGAGCCGTGGCAGGTGAGGGGCAGGCCTGCCCACCAGCCAGGATCCAGCTTCAGGCTGAACACAGCGCTGGCATCCTGCTGCTTCCCCCAGTTACGGGCAGAGGCAACAGGACGGGGAGCTCACCCTCTGCGCCCAGAGGGGTCTCCCTTCGGTGCAGGACGGTGCCATCAGGTATCTGACTGCCGCTGGCGTGGCTCTGACTCTCCCTGTGTCATCAGGTTGCAAAAGGATTTGCCCCGCGGCACCCTCAGCCAGCACAGCACCCTGAGCACCCTCCAAAATGCAAAGCACCCAGCAGGGCTGTGCCTGGGCTGGCTGGGAAGGAGGTTTCCGAAGGCAGCAAACAGCACTGCAGGCTCTGCAGGCACAGAAGGGGAACTGCAGCAGGTGCCCAGCACCACCCCAGCCAACCCTCAGCTTCCGCAGGGTCATTTTGTCCAGTTTCAGATTCCCTTTCTGTCCTCTGGGATGAACAGTTTGCCCAAAGCACACAGGATTTGTAGGGAGAAAGCAAGCCATTTTTTTAAATTATTTTTTTTTAACAACATCGGCAGGCCCGGTCAGAGCAGCAGGTCAGCCCTTTGGTGCTATGGGCTTGGGTAAAAATACGTCCAGCTTCGCAGGGCAGCGCTGCGACACCACCCTGCCAGCTCCGAGTGCCCACCCGGGGACACGCTCTGATCCAACACCCACCGAGCTCCAGTGCCTGAACACGGGCATCAGTCCCAGAACTGTGACTCAGGTTGCCTTTGGGGAGTAACAAGTAACCTGAAGAGTCTTTTTTAGCGCATGAAAGAGCCAAATGGGTTGGGAGAGGGGAAATATTTACACGGTCAATGAGAGGAGCGACAGCCCAGCTGCTCTACACAGCGCAGCTGGCTGGAGAGCAGTTACAGAGAAATCAGCCCGTCGGAGGTCTGTCAGAAGAACTATATACAAAAACTCAGATATTTAAAAAGAACCTACTTTTTCATTACTCACTTGATATCTCCTTATTAAAGCATCAAAGGCTAGAACCACAGCCACACTGGCAAAGATCTCCTCGTGGAGAGCCCTGCACGTTAGGCAAGCTGCGATAGGAAGTACAAAACAGGACCACGAGACTTGTGGAGGAGAACCTAGCCAGAAGGGCTGCGGCCACAGGGAGAGAGCGGGTAACTAGAGCACAGAAAGCAAAACTGGGTATGATCTAAAACAAGATTTGTTTGACCTTTACTCATGTCTAGGTTTTTGGACTGTGTTTTGGAACGCTAACCTAAACATATTTCCGAGATTTCAGCAGGCTATACAAATATGTTTAAGTATGGCTTTCTGTTGTTCACTTTTAATGAAGACTGCAACACAGACCTTGCTTCCTTTACATTCAATACCAGTAAGATTCTACATAAAAGCTTTAAGGGACTAAAATACTGATTGCAATAAATATCTGCATGGCCTCCTTTAGCTGATGGAGCGCGCCAGTGAAGAGTAGCAGAAAGGTCTCTGAGAGGCACCGTTGATTGCTTCTAAGTCTACACATATGTCCACACATCTCCATTAACTGTGCGTTGAAACATCTGAAGAGGAACTGCTGTTGCTGTTGGTGGTCTGGGCCCTCTTTATGTACAAGTTTAGTAGTTTCATCTGAAAGAGATAACAATGATTAGGAGAAGATGCCAGGAAAAACACGCGGACTGCAAGCACAGACTCTGCAGTGAACTCTGTTTTGGGCAAGCTGGCACCAGGCTCTCCAGAGGAAAAGCAGAAGCAAAGCCGAGCACATTTCAGAACATGCAGAAATAGGAGGGGAGGCCTGGTCCCACTGAAGTTACAGCCAGATTTAATGGGATTTAAAAAAAAAATCCAACAACATTTGTTTCACTTCAGCAGCTGTCGATTCTGACCTCCGTCCCAGTCTGCTCTAGCTAAGCAGGATGCCAACAGAGGTGAGTGGGGCTGCAGGTAGGCCCTGAATTCACTCACACCCCAGTAATCCAAGAGCCATGGTCCCTCCTAGGAAACACCTGAACTCTCCGTGCTTAGGGAGTAAAAGCAGGATGGGTTTTGTTCTTTACAAAACGTTCATTTCCAATGACATTTATCTTCATTAACTTGGGCCATCTAGTGAAACTGCAGCTGTTATGATTATCCACTTCCTTTGCATGGGTTTGTTTTCTTATTCCGCCTTACCACCTTAGCTCCAGATCCTGCAGTGACTCACACACACTTAACTTTAAACATGCAGGCAGTCTGCGTAAACTCGGAAGAATTACTCACATGTTTATAGTTAGTTATGTGGTGGAGTAAGTCCACGGCACCTAGGATACTGGGATAATAAAGCCTCTACAGCATTTTATAGGGGAATTTCCCAACTGCCTGAATATAAATGAGGTAAATCTCAGCACCCGGAGCTCTTTTTTTTTCCAGAGCAAATGGGAGGTGCAAGTAATTTAAGGACAAATCAACTCAATTCAGAAATAAAATCCAAATGTTCTCAGTCTCAGATTCTGTTTTGGCCTACACCACAATTCCTACCCATGAAAGAAACCATTGCTTCAAAACAACCAGATGAAGCTCTCTGAACTAAGTAGCTATTCACATTCAGAGACATTTCAGAGACAACAATGCAGAATTCATCTTAAAATTGCAAAGAAATGTCAGGTGTTATGACTTCAAACAAGAGAAGTCTTGTAACAGCTTCCTGAATGCCAGTTCTTGTCTGAAGGACAAGAATGAATTAAAGACCTGAATTTATTTGCAGCATCAGGTCAGAACTTGCGTTTTGCTTCTCACATGAGCCCAGGACACAAAGGCTTCTGAAAGATCGCTCAGACTTGCTGGTGTCCCAGGAGGAAAGGGACACATCTGCCATGCTATTAGGAGTGAAGCTCTACCTGCACTTCTACCAGCCCTCATCATGACCTGCTGCTGGAAGGAGAGGTGCTGCTCTCTCTCCTCCATCCTAACCATGCATTCCCATCACTCTGCATTAGGTTATTGTCTCAGCCAAAGAGCAGACTGAAAAATAATTAATTTGTATTTCAGATTTGTTTTTCAGCTGGAGAAGCCAGCTGATCCAATTCAGTGCATTGTCACCCCCTCGATGCAATGCAGAAGGACCAAGGTAACCACGGCTGTAGTGGGAAGGACCCTCTCAGATGCAGCTCACAGTTACAGGATCAAATGCAGCAAGAAATCGAACCCTGAATCCCACTCAAAATTTGCTCTGCAGGGTATGAAATGCTCGCTGCTGAGCAGGTGTTGCCTCATTCTCGTGGTGCTTGCCATGGTCACATAGTCCAACTCATTCAGATTTAACAGAGCACAGGGAACTTGAGCCAGAGCTACCACAGCTCTTACTCCTATTAGGAGCTGGCTGTTACCAAAATACCAGAGGCATTACTCCCATACCTTGCTTCCTGTGAGTTGTGCGAGATGAGGTTTCAGTTCTTCTCCAATTACTGAGTAAATTGCCACTAGGCAAAATACACTAGCTTTACGGACACTGCTCTCTGTGTTATCGTAACCCTAGGAAACAAGAAAAAATGGTCACAGATCAAACAGCACTTACTTAAATCCTTACAGGTCAATAAACTAAAAAGCTGATTAACATTTTGCACGTGTGGCTACCAACCTAACAAATCAATAGAAAGGCCTTGCTGAATGTAACAGTTTGCAATACAAATGCTCAAAGAGCAAGAAACTACAAACACCCAGCACATCCTATTTGTTTCTTATATTATGTTATTACTGTAAGTTATTAATATCTTGGGGTTTTATGTCATTGAGCCAGAACACAGATTCTCAGCACAGGATTCTATCAGATGGACAGATTCCCATGTCCAGTTCAGATGACCACAACATGCCGTATGGGATGACTAAGACTTCTTGGAGTGGAACAGCAGCGTTCCCAGCTTGCCTGCAGACATGTCCTTCCTTTTAACTGAAAGTAAATCAGTTCTACACCTGAGCAAAGTTACAGATTGAAATGATTTTTGTTTTCTTTTTTAGAAGAATGGCCTAATATTTATATCACTGAGAATATGAAATCCAGAAAGTTTAGTGAAGAGATGTTCTACCCAAATAGGTATTTGCATTGAACAGCTCTATCTAAGCATTAGAAGCTGCAAAAATCATTGTCATGGATTATTTTCCAACCCTTTAAAAGCACTGGGCTTCAACGCTGTATAGAGCAATGCTACACCCGTGCTAGTCCATTAAATAAACTGACTTCTGTAACCAGGAGCTTTTATTATTACTAATTTTCATTACTTATTAGGTAGGAAATACCCTGGAAAAGAGAGTGTTGAGAGTCCCCTGTGGGTGTGCTAATTTCTGGCAGCTTCTGCACCTCAAACAAGCCATTGGATCACCCAGCAGCTTGTGCCATCACTCCTGTACTCAGGCAGGGACTTACTGCTGCTAAGCAGCAACCCCATAAGAAACCTCACACATCTTTTTGGTGTGTGGGATGCTGGCTGCCCCGGACGCAGCGTGACCTCTGCCAGGAAAGCCATGGAGGGATGGCACATGGCTGGGGCTGCCTGCCAGCAGGGCTGATGTTCTGGCTGCAAGGCTCAAAATACAGTCTGAAATGACTGTTTAAAATCCCAAAGAGCACTGAATCCCAAAGAGTAGGAGACCTGGGTGAGCTCAGAGAAATATTAAGCACGGTGCTCTTTGCATAAAGCCCTTCAGCTGGAAGGATCCCCAAATACTTTCCAAACATGAGTAGATTCTGTTGATCACTGTGACTTCCTAAGGCGGAGAAATATCACTGGCTGCTCCAAGATGAAAAATCGCAAACTAGGCTCCAAAACAAGATTTGTTTTAAGACATTAAAGCAATCTAATAAAACACATACAACCGTGTTTTAAAAGGCATACTGCTCCCAAACTTTTCTGGTGTGAAGCTACACTGTCCAGATTGTTGCCACCAACAATGAGGGCTAAGAACTTTTCACAACAAAAGTTTACATCAATACAGAACTGCCCGATTCCCAGAGGTTGAAATACAAGAACACAATTGCAAGAACAGACACGACAACATTTGGACAAATGCTAAGATGCACAAGGGAAATTTCTGACTTTGCTCTTGTCCATCCACTCGTTACGCTTCACAGTGAGGCAGCTGCTTTATCCCAATTCTCTACTTCAGTCTTACCACCAGAACACATTCAATTCTTTCACACTGACTGACTTGCTCCTGTCACAACCCCTCCCCAGTAAACACCCACGTTCTCTCTCCTCCATTGCTGCTACCTCCCCTTATTTCCATCACGCTTTCAGTCCCATCCCAGTTGCTAGCACTGCCAGCTGCTTGTACAAGGGAACTGAATACAGCCTCACCACAGCCAGCACCGAGAGAGAAATTCTCTATGGAAGACCAAGTCTTAGCACTGGCAAAAACACAGCTCCCCACCCGGCTTGAGAGGGTTATGAAAGAGACTGAATGAAGTCAGTGAGCAGTTCAGTCCTGATTTCAGAGAGAAAATAAGAAGGACCATCCCAAAGTGCGCACCAGTTCAATGATGATTTGCACTCAGGAGCATTTGTGATAGGGGATTCTGTACCTGTAACAATCCAGGAATGATATCTGGGAGGAGCTGATGCAACGATTCCTTGGAAATCCTCTCAATAACTTTCGTCTGCATTTTGATGGCAGCTAAATTGATTGGATAATCTGCAGTCTGAATGATGGGGCAAAGCACCTTGATGCACTGCTCAGGGTGGATGGAGCTTGCCAGGGTGGAAGCAGCTTCCTCAGCAGCTCTGACGACCTGCAATGAAAGCAGAGCAAAACCTCACATTAATGAGGTCACACTTCACAGACAAAACCACCTGTGTACTCTAGGATTGAACGCCAGGAAATACTCAGGGATGTTTATTAACAGATCTGCAGGAGGCTCTTCTGAGAGGCAATCAACTCCCAGAATTCGTGTTCTTCACCTCCAGTAACATTTGTTCCCACCAGACAGCGGTACGCAGTTCGTCCTGCCTGAAGGAACTGGGTCAAAGATGTGGCTAGGTTGAAAGAGTTGATTAAGGAAAACGAAAAAAAGAGAGCATCTTTGTCACCCAGCAAAGACAGGCATTGCTATCCTAGGAAAACCAAGAGGAAGGTACCCCTCTAGTCACCGCCAAGGAACCTAAATCCACCAGCTGAGACTTCAATGCTGAATGTAGCTCCTTAAACATTACACTGCCACACACTGCATAGACGCTGTCATACTTTTCAATATGCATCTGCCCTGCTGAGTGCTTGGGTGCCCAAGCTGAGACAACCATGCCTGCACAGATGTGTCCTGCCGTGTCCCAGCTAAGCACTGCTGCACTCAAACCCAGGCTGCGGAGCCAAGCAAGCTTCAGGATAATCAACGACCAGGCAAGAGTGCTCTGAGCACGTCTAACACATTCAGACAGTAGTGCTGTAACACTATAAAACATGGGAGGAAGAACAAGTGGAAACAGGGGTAGCGTCCACCTTTTGTTTTTGTGACTAGCGCACCCTGTAAAGCAGTCACACAGGATGAAGGATCCAAAACTCAGTTCTACTCCGCACCCACCTAAGGGAAAGCAAATCCACATCTTTCACACTTCTCCCCAGCAGGCAGGACAGCAAGCTGCAAGAGGAAAGACCTGATTCTCTCCTCCCATGAGAGTTTATTCATTTCACACTCCACAATAATTGGATAAAGAAAAAAAAAAAAAAAAACAGGATGGGAAGCAGGTTTTATTTTTTCATGTGTCTGTGCTAATTGCCAGGCAACAAACTGAGGTTCTCCCTTGGCTGCACTCTTCCTGGCCTCAAACCACACGCTCCATACTCCCCATGTTGTTTCAGTACACGAGATGGAGGATGCCTTTGCCCACCACATCCCCTCTCTTCTCTTTTCACTGTTTACCTTCAAGGGAGGGTAAATCCTGTGTGGACAGAGACGCCCTAGTGGACAGATTTAAATCACAGACCTCATCTCTAAGAGAGGAGCATTCACAAATCCTTGCCCTTAGAGCATCTCCAGCTCCTCCAGTTCTCTAACTCATCCTAAGCCAGACTCCTCAGGGTTGTCTGAAGTCAGTATTTTGAAACCAGCAAAGGAAAATCTGTCCCAGACAATACACACAAACAACCAAACTCTCCCACAACAAATAAATCGATCCACAAGTCTCCCGTCACTTAGACTCAAGCCCTGGTTGCTGGATTCTCTTCATTCCCCTCTTCCACACACTATCGTGGTACCAAACTCAGGGATTTCTGTTTGACTAAAGCAATCCATGGACAGCTCTATCTGCAAGGAACTAATGTGGACAACACATGTACCAGGAGTACTTGGAGATTTAACCCAGTCCTTACTAGGACAAGAACATCTCCCTGCCTTGGCTACAAATTATTTTCCAGCAAAGACTAGTTGATTTCAAGGGAGAAGCTGTGAAGAGTGAGCAGCTCAGGCAGACTACTGATGTAACAGAAGAGATCACCCCTGCCTACACGGCCTGCTTCACCCACGGTCTATGAGCTCAACACGGCTCGGACACCGGCAGTAACCTTGTGCTCGCGCTGACAGCTGCCTCCCTGACACAGGAATGGCCAAAGGTTGCTTGTATTGAAGCAACAAAACCCATCCACTTGTTCTGGGCATCCCCTTCAGCAAAGCCAACAATGAAAGGGATCTCAGATGCTTCAGCAGAATAAACACTGAGCTCAGGCACAGCACAGTCAAGGTTCTGTAGCTGACCTGAGACCTTGATGGCTTCTGTATCCGCACCCTATCTACCGAAGCCGTCCAACTGCTCCATCTACCTTGGGCCTTTCTCAGCAATTAAACATAGTGTTAAAACATATTCCATAAAGGAATGGCAATCCACAGCGTGGTCAGTGTTCAAAAGATTTCATCCTGAAAGCTCTGTGAATGAGTAACGAAGCAGAACAGAGTCCTTGTTTAGGTCTTCCAGCTATTTCTTGGCTAATTCCTTCTCAATTCCACACATGAAGCAATTCCACAAGCATGAAGGTTTCCATGTCAGCCACCTTAGGAGGACGTACTATGCGACTTTTTAAGAAAAGGAGAGAAACATCCAAGTACTTCAGGAAACCTAATGCCATGGTTTGGAACCATGGCACTGAATTGCTGGAAGGGATGAAGTCAGGAGCTCCCAGGAGGTCTCCATTGAATCTGAGGAGGTTTCCTGCAAAGGAATTCACTGTTTGGCACTGCAGCTTCTGACGTCGTCGTTACTAGTGCTGAAACACCGCTAGCATCAAGCTCTCACAAACAATGCGGTGGATAACAGAGGGTGCAGGTTATCTTGTAATCAACTTAATGTTTACATGCAAGTCACTTTATATATATGTTAAAAAAAAAAAAAGCCTCATAACTGTTTGGACACAGGCCATTTGAGGATTTTGCTTTTTTGGCAACTCCAAATATGTTTAGTTAATGTTATCAGACACGGTGAGAATGAAAAGCTTGCACGTATCACAACTTCCGAAAAAAATTACTTATTTTTTAATCCTCATGGTATCTTTCTTATAATAGAAAGACAGTAATATTTTAGTATATACCTGGAGACAGACTGATCTTAAAAATACTACTGTAAATTTGGGAGTAGGTAAAACTTTCAACAATTCCTTTTGCATTTAAGCTCCACGTACTGTTTGCATAGTTTACCATGCACATTAAGTTGCAGATATGAGGCTAGCAAATGAGACAAAACCTTTATTTTAAAAAGCCTATTATCATTTCCAAGCACCAGGGATTAAAACACAGCTGTAATTCCTCACAAAATGATCCAGGATTCCAATTGCAACAAAGGTCATAATGTATTCTGCACACTGCAAGGTCAGCAAGAAAAGCTGTAAGGGTACAAGATTATTTATGCCCGTGCAAGTCCTTCTCTTCCAGCAAAGCTGCCCATTTCTAGCCAGGATCTGGCAGCATGTGCGCAGCAGTTGGGTATTTCACATTGCTGCATTTCCTCTGAATACAGAAGGGCACATTACACATGTCCAGTAGGGCTCCTGCTGATCCTAGCTAGTAAATGTGACAACACCAGGGAGATTTCCGTGTCTTCCAAGAGCACATCTGGCAGGCAGCATCTGCATCCCGGCCACACTTCAGCAACCCCCTTAAGCGTGTGTTTAGCTTTAATAACACGCTTAAGTCTCACTGACGTCAATGGGATTCAAACATGTGCTTACATGCTTGCTTGAATCAGAGCCTCGGCAGGTAACTCGCTGCCTTGGAAAGGAGCAGCAGGCGACAGGCTGGAGACAAAGGGGCAGGCAGGGCAGTACCAGCTGGGAGCGAGCCAAAAGGACAAGCTCTTCCCTCGTTTGTGTCCATTGGCATAGAAAGCCAAAATGCCACCACTCTGCAATGCAAGTAGCAGCCTTGCTCAATAGGTCTTTCCTTCTGGCTTTGGCAGAATAAAGCATTTCACCACCCAGACCTGCATCCCACGAGGGAAAGCTTGTCTCTGAATACTTGCACAGCACTGTCAGTCACATTCACCTGGTACCACCCGAGGAAATCGGCAGCATTCCTGCAGAGGGGGAAGTGAATTATCAAAAGATATGAACTGCCAGGTCATTTGGCAACGAGGGTACACAATTATAGCTGAGTTTAGTGAAGATATTTTGCCCTGAGGCACAACACCCATGTCTTGTAAATTATACATACCGCACAATATCAAAAAAATCAAAAATCTTTTTTTAAATCAGGGCTTTAACCTGACCAACAGAGTGAAACAACCTTAAAAGGAGTGGGAGAAACAAGCAAACTTCCAGCAACAGCTCTTCCACCCATCTGTGGAGGGAGGACTGGCAGATACACACTGGGAAGCAATAGGAACGGCTCCATTAGGCTCAGACTAACAGCAGACACCACAAGAAGTGGTAGCTACGAAATACGTCCTTTAACTTGGAGAAAAAGAATGCTGTTCACTCTTCCGTTCAGGCAGACATAACCTTTAGTTGGGGAAGACTGTAAGCTTCAGCCAGCAGTAAGGAGGGAGGATGCCCTCAGTGAAGCATCACTGCATACTTCCTAGCTGTTGTCTGAAGCAGGGTATGAAGTGAAGCAAAGTTCTTGTTTAACCTAGTACAGTTATGCTCAATTACCTCAGAAACATGAAAGAAAACTAGCAGTTTTCAAACAATTATACCAGCTGGAAGAAGCAAGTTCAAAGGGGTGCCCCTGAAGCAAGATCTGCAAGACTGGAGAGCCTGCAGTGCTGCAAAAGTACTGACACTAAGCTGTGTGTAAGGTATGTCCCAAACACAATTTTACCTCCTAGTGAAAGTGTAGAGCAAACCATGGCTGGAACTGGAGAGTCTGATGCCACTGAACACAAGGCAGGTAGCTCAGGAATGCAGATCCAGAAGATAGCACTCTGCCTTACAGGAGCAGGTTTTTCTCCTTTCCAAAGCCTTACCTTATGCTCTACACGCTGCAGACTAGATCCATCCTGACTTGTGCTGGCATAACATAACGCTGCGCTTTCTGGCAGGCTGGCTCCTTGAAAGACATCTGCAGCATGTTAAGGCCTTTCTAGTGAGCTCTCCCATGAAAGAGAAATCGTTGTAATTCCACCCAGTTTGCTCAAACCGGCTGGGTGCATCAGCCACACAGATGTAGTGGAGGCAAAGAGCCCACCTGTGTAGCAATGTCTGCCTTAATGCTATATACAAAGGAGTACCCTTTGAGGTAACAGGTCAGACAGTCCCAGGAATATAGTATGTGCATGAAATGCTTTCTGATTTCAATGGGAGGGGACATGC